TTTACAGTTCAAAGTCCCAGGGAAAGTTACTCAGCCTCACTATTCCTCAGCTTCCTCTTCTCTACAGCAAGAATAAACACAGATCTACTCATAAGATCATTATGAGAATTAACGGAGTTAATATTTATATTTAAATATTTAAAACATGGCCTAACACATAATAAGGATCACACACGTTTTGTTAAATAAGTGGATAAAATGTTGTCAAGCTGAACTCCACTGCTCTCTTCTCTCTGTCCTAAAACGACCCCAGTTTTTCTCTTTTTGGGTTTTGGTTGTATTGGTGGCATCCTATGGGGGGAGGAGGGCAGCGCAGATATTATTAACTGATGCCAGCATTCATTCCTTCCCGGTGGTCAGCGCCTCTACCAGACAAGGAAGGGAAGAGGGAGGAGTGTCAGCTGTATTCATTCACTGTTGGGTCAGCCAGGCCAAAGTGAGCACAGGTAAAGAAAACGGAGCTGTTTATTAAATCAGCACAACAGGAATCTAGGGACACGTGTGGCTGCTATTTTTAAATATGTGGAGGGCTGGGATGGAGAAGAGACAGCATTGAAAATTCTATGAAACAGGCTCCCCATCACTGAACGTGTTGAAGCAAGAGACGGGTGACCAGGTGCAAAGGATGCTGTAAGAAAGAATTTTTTTTTTTTTAATTTAGAGTCAGATAACCTTTAAGATTCCCAGCACTTCTAAAGTCTTGGCAATACTAGCGTGAGTCATCAAGACATTACAATCCAGTTGTGAGTCACACATCGCCAACGCGCTCCTGAAGGCACAGAATTCTTCCCTCCCCACGAAGCCTGGCACATTACAACATATCTAGGTGAGGAATTCTAGCCCTCGGGCTGCGTAGAACTCGGCTCACGGGAACAAAAACTTCTCTAAAACTCCGCGCGTCAATTAGCTGATTCCAGACTTGCGTTATGACCAGCGAAGACGATAAAGCATACATCTCAGACGGAATTTGGGGCAACAAGATGTATCTGGATACAGTATCAGACAGTGCTTCGCTTCACTCCAACGGGGCCAGACAAAAGGCGCCTGAAAATAGCCGGCAGGTTAAAGGGGCAGGGGCAGGCAGGGTGGCCCGGGTGCCTGGGAGCCCAGCGAACCGACACGCGCAGGGGAAAGGGACAAAGGCCTCGGGGAGCGCACGCTGGACCTGGAGGCCGGCAGGAATGCCCCGGCCGGAGTGGCCGGCAGTCGCGGGGTGGACTGGGGATGCAAACGTGGGGCTCCCCGCGGGTCCTCTCTGCCTCCAGGGAGCCGGGAGTGGGGAGCTCGCCAGGGCTGGGGGGGAGGGGTTCGCGGCGCCAGGGGGTGGGGGCAGGGCTCGCCGAGCGGGTCTCGCACCTGCCTGCCGGGCTCTACGGTCCGCGCTGGGCTCCCCGCCCCTCAGCCCACTCGGCCTCCCGCCGGATTTCGGGTGGTCCTGACCAACACCGCCTCGGCGGAGTCCGGCCCCTAAGCCTCAGACGGGCGGCCTGACTCGACGCCGCAGTCCCGGTGTGGAATGTGGGGCAGCGGCTGCCTCCCGCCGGGCCCGACCCGGCTTCCCGGGCCGTGCAAGCGGCCGGCGCCATCGCGGGCCGCAGCGGCCGGAGGGAGAGCAGAGGCGGCTCCGGGCGCCACTTTACCTGAGAGACCAGCGGGAGCAGCGTCTGCTCCACCGAGCGAGTTTTGATCTCAAGTCCCGAGTCGAAGGCGAAGCCCGACGGGCCGGCGCCGCCAACGCCAGCCGGGCCCAAAGAGGCGGCCATAGCCTTCGGCCCGTCGCACAGCCGGGACGCCGCGCCACTGCGGGCCCGCCGCCCGCCAGCCAGCACGCCCGCGGCGGCGGCAATGCACCCGCGCCGCCCGATGCCCCGCCCACCTCCAGGGCCCGCCCCCTGGCGGCCACGCCCCCGCGCGTTAGGGTCTCGGGTTCTCCCTGCAGTCCCTCTCCGTCTGTCCCCCTAGCCTGCCCCGCCTCGCTCTCTCCAGGACTGATTAAACCAGACACCTGCCGGCCTCCCACGGCCACGTGGCCTCTTACCGAGACAAGGACAACCGTCCCTGGCAAACCTTTTCGTCCTCCTGATAGGTGGACTGGTCCTAACTCCGACTTCCACGATTTCTGGAAGCTGAGCTAACTGGCGGAGCAGAGAGCGCCACAGTCAAGTGGGTAGGGTCTTTTACCCTGAGACAGGAATTCTACTGGTAGAGCGTCTTTCTGGAGCTTCTCCAGAAGGTCCCATTTCCCCCTGCTCCTCTTCTGACCCTTTCTCTCTCACCATTTGGGCTGGATTGAGGATGAAACATAAGATAGTGAAGTCTTAAGGAGTACCGGGGCACTTGGCAAGGAAGCAGTGGTTTGGGTCATCTCTCGGGCTACTTTTCAAAAGGAAATTAACGTGAGCATACGGAAAAGCTTCATCTACTGTTTAACACTACTACATTTTAAAACTACTTTTCAGAATTACTTTCCCTAGGGCTAAGCCAGAGCAGTTTCCTAACAGCTGTTTCTTGACTGAAAAGATCATTAGTGTAGGGGCACCTGGGTGCCTCCGTTGGTTGAGGCTCTGACTCTTGATTTTGGCTCAAGTTGTGATCCTAGGGTCATGAGAACAAGCCCCATGTAAGGCTCTGGGCTGTCTGGAGTCTCCTTAAGATTCTCCCCGCCCCTCCCCGACCCCTTCTCCCCTACTTGTGGGTGCTCTCTCTTAAAAAAAATAAAAAAAGACAACAACAAAAAAGATCATTAGTGTATATTTCTGATTAAACTCACTTAAAGGTAAAGCTATCAGGGAGCCCCCAACATGATCAGATGGGAGGGAGGGCTGAACACCCCATTCCTCAGGAGTTCCAGAAGCAAAGCCAAAAGGGCAGCTGTCAGAAACACGCACACCCAGTGAAGGGGCCCTAGGCGTAAGCAATAGACTGAGAAGCATGGAGAAATATTTGTGAGCTAGCCTATCTGCCAATAAGCAACTAGCAGGGTAGAAAACCCAAGGCTGGCGAGTCCACCCTTTCACTTTTGCCAGGATCATTTCTCCATCCATGTCAGATTGATGAGCTGAACACCACCAGCTCCAGGTGTCAGAGGCTCTTTCCCAAACACTTGTTGAAATGTGCTTCCCATGTGGGGTTCAGCTCCATCTGTCAGTGCTGCCAAGTTATCTTTGCTATTGAAGATAGCCATAACGTGGGTTTATTTTCTGCCTTCAAACTGTGCCGTTCTTTTAACCAACTTTTCCTTGATTCTTACTCCCCAGCCACTTACCTTACCACTTCTTTGTCTACCAAGGCCATCTTCCGGAGTGCACTGAGGACTCCAGCCTCAGCCTTGGGCCTTTTCACCTCTTTAAGGTGCCCAGCACCCACTCTCCAGACACATCTTCCCTTATGTAAGTTGCCCATATTACATAAAAGTTCAGTGTAGGCATTGGTGCCAAAGAAAAGTATTTAAGGCCTAAGTAAGAGACAGGTGGATGTTTTCATGAAAGTTTCACTTCACTAAAGATCAAATTTCTCAATAGAAATGAGACTAAGATTACCACCTGATTCATTTAACACTAGTAATTTTATTTCAAAATATAAATATTTCACATTTACAAAGAAGTTACATCAGTAGGTTGTCAAAGCAAATTAAAGCTAAGAAGTAGGCTCTGTGTGAGAATAAAGAATATGGATTGTATTTGAAAAAACTTTTTTTGCTTTCAAACCATCTCTACTTTGCCTGAGAACGCAGAGATGATACCGTACCAGAAGTTATTTGGGCAATTACAATTATATACCCATTCTTGGTTTCAAAATCAAATAGTATCTGAAATATCCCCAGTCACTCAAACAAGGAGCACTACAAAGGACAGAAGTGTTTTCTTTGGGAGAGCAATAATAAGAGTTACACTTTCTGGGCCACTATAAAAAAAATATATAGGGTTTGATAATAGGCCAAAATGATGTTAACTTGAAGATTTGCTTCCACACCTTTCATTTTAAGCTATAAAGCCAGAAGAAAAGTAAGAAACCAGGTGTGGAGTAAAGAACTCTGGACTTGGAGTCAGAAGTTCTGCAAGTGAATTCTGGCTCCGTAATTTTGTGGTATAAACTTAAGGGAAAAATCACAAAAAAACTTTTTTGAGCCTCCAGTGCCTCATTTAATAATACTTAACACCTGCCTGTCTCACAGGGTTGCTATGAAAGCAGTCTGAAAACTATAAAGTGACAAAGGCATTAAAATGTAATATCAATATATCACCACTGTATTTGCACATTAATAGATTCTTGAAAAACTTGCAAAACTAAACACAAATACTGATTTTACACACCGTAATAGGTGGAAAAGAATCTCTATACTTTACGTATAGCTCTGAACAGCAAATATGTTTTCTTTCTGGTATCTTACTAAACTGAGATTTATTACAGTTTACATGGAACCATGGTAATAGATTTACCATTCAGAATTTCCATTAAGGATGTCTCCTAAAAGAGCTGTAAATTCACTTGAGCGCCATGTTTCCTAAAGGACCAGGAGTCCTTGGAGAAGCTCTGCTAAGAGGGGGAGCTCAGGGGGGCAGCTTAAGGTCAAGTAAGTCTAGTAAACACAGTCTTTGTCCCCTCATAAATTTGCAATATATAACAGCAGGTTTAAAAACTCTGAGAAGTCCGACAGCAAGGAAACAAACTCAGCATTCTTCAATTTTAATTGACCGTGGAGTCCCCTCCCCTCATACACACTTCTGTCTCTTAGAACATCTACTAACATCCCTTGGAGCTAGGGCTATAAGGAACACATTTTTCAAAAAGCTGCTCGACCGAAAGGGAAAGGGAGGAGAAGCAGAGAAAAAAAGGACTGGGGCACCTGGGTGGCTCAGTTGGTTAAGCGTCTGACGTCGGCTTAGGTCATGATCTCACAGTTCGTGGGTCTGAGCCCCACGCTCTGTTGTCAGGGCAGAGCCTGCTTGGAATTCTCTGTCTCCCTCTCTTTCTGCCCTTCTCTCCCTCTCCTTCTGCCCCTCCCCACTCACTCTCTCTCTCAACAGTAAATATTAAAAGAGAGAGAAAGAGAGAGAGAAAAGAACTGTTTTCTACTCAGAATTGTTACTAGCTGACTCTGTGTTAGAAAAGCCTATGGATTTGTTTTCTCCCCTAGAAAAGTGACAGGATCACCTAATTATAGAAAGCCCATTATAGCACAGAATTTCTATGACTCTAGTAGAGAGAGAACATCTTGATTTACAATTCTCTTGATTATTTTTAAACCATCAAAAAATAACCGCTCAATGGTTTCAGTTAGCATGTGCATATTTTTGCAGGTCCTCAATAAATTAATGAAATGAATATATTTTAATAGCAAATGTGTAAGGACAAAAAATTAATAAAAAAAAAAAAAACAAAGTAGTTGGTCTTCGCTGGAACTAACACTTGGAAATACACTGCCAGAGGCTATTTCCAATGTGAAATGCCTACCATAATATTCTTGTAAGGGTCTCAACAGACCCTAGAGGAAACTGCCAGTCAGGACCAGAGGATGGGATGTTCTGAAGGGGTTTTTCCTATAAACCCTGAGGTTGAGAGCCCTGGATGGCTCACCTAAAATTCCTTTGCTCTAATCAAACCCTTCATGCCCTGAATCTCTGAATATCTCTTGCCCAGTAGGGACACGTCCTGAAGCACTAAATGCAACCAATGTGGGAACTCAGGGTATGATTAGGGTCACAATGGGTATTTAAGACCAAAGTTAGCCAGAGGCCCTCAGCTTGCAAGCCTTTTAGCCGCCCTTTCACTGAAGACACAGCTGCTATTTCCAAAGGCTCTGAGTTTGTTTAAATATAGTAAACCTCCACAACACTTCTTGACCTTGTCAAGAGTCTGTCTCCACCAGCATCACAAGTCACAGGAAAATCCTGCCAGCTAACCACCTCTAACGGAAGAGAGTGTTAGGAATCCTCACAAATTTAAACATAAATAGGACTTGTAACTCAGGCAGTCTGACAGAGATCACTTCCAGGAACAGAAAATGTGATAGGAATTTTGGAACTGAAAAAGGATTCATAGGGCATGGAGTTTATGCTAAAAACCCTCTACCTTATTCTCTCTTAGAAAAGAGAGGAGCACATCTGTGCGGAGACTTTTATTTTCTCCCAATCCCCCATTTGGTTTACAACTGAACTAATGAATATGAACTTAAAACTAATCGTTAACAAAGCTATAAAATGTAAGACATTGTGATAGGATTCTGGATCAATTTTTACTGAAGCTACTTCATCAATGCATGGTCTGTTCCTAGGAAGACTGACCCTTCCTGGGACAAATCCTAACTGAGAATCTGGGGGCAGGTCATCTCTGAGACCTGAGCTGGAGACTCACCCCTTTTCACACCCCGTGATCTCTGTGTCCTGAGAAAATTCTGTAAACCCTCTTCACTATACCAAAGAGATAGGTTTCTCTGTTTGGGGGTTCCAGGAAGACCTCCCCAACTGGTTGACTTTCTGAGTCCTTATGCGGTTGCAGAAGGGCCAGGGCAGTTCCAGTCTCCGGATGAGGACTGTGCAGCACTCTGGGGTCCCTCTGCTCCCGATACTTCAAGTGATATTACATCATTGCCAATTATGGCAGCTCTAGACTCTTCTCTTAGGGCTCAAAGTTCCCCTCTATGATCCTCGTATTTACACTAATAATTATGACCACCAACAGCCATATATTAGCTCGAGGTTGGTTTTTTGCAATATCACTTTATACAGCTAAAAGCACTTTGGAGGAACATAATTTGTATACGCAGACGCAACTCACGGTGTGTGATGCTTCTCTCTTCCAAATGTGCCAATTTGAGCTATAAACTTAACCAGCATACAATTAATAAAAACAAAGCTGACTTCTTTTTTAACCCTTTTAATGGAAAAATTTTAATTTTAGTAATGCACATGACTTGGCCAGGATTCAAGGGGAGAGAAGGGCTTTTATGAGTTATCACCTGTGGCACCCTGTGCAGTAGTTGGCATGGGAGCCAGAGTTGGCAAACTCTTGACCAATGTTTTACTGAACAAATGACTGAAGAAAGACAGAAGTCAGTCAGTGGCCAAATGGAACACTCGGTGTAACATCAGATTACAATTGTTGAAGGACAGTAAAAATAAGAGATCTGCATGTAATCTACTGTATAAAGTCAAAGCCCTCACAGTAGCCTCTTTCCTAGATGGAGCTAATTTCTTAAGTAACATCAGAATAAACCTAAGCTAATTATTATTAACTATGCTTTAGGGAGACGATGTTTTAGGGGAAAAAATGATTTCTACCTTTGTTTTCCAAAGGGAGGTCTTTCATACTTAGGAACCCTTTGTCCCTCATATTCCCTTGGGAGATGGATAAAGAGCCTAATGATTGCGTTAAACAGTGTAAAGGGCACATAGCCAAGAGCTGGGTTCTAGTCCCAGCCTTGTCATTAACTGTAGGACAAACACTAGGAAAACTGTGGAAGATACTGGGAGAAATGCTACAGTATAGCACAATCTGCAGCCTACAAAGTCAGAAAGTGTTGAGGTAAAAATCTTACTAAATTTTTCTGAACCTTAGTTTCCCCATCTGTATGAAACTGTGCTAAAATAATATAAAGCTATATGAAAGCTGATGGGGAGTGGCTGTGACATAATAAAGGACTTTGTAAGATGCAAAGCACTATGCTGGTTATCATGATAGCTGAGATACTTAAAAAAGTCGTAATTCAACAAGCCTTCATCTAGAGTCTTATGTGCAAGGCACTGTGCTAAGTGATGGAAAAACACTACATAAATGTAACATTCTACTGCTAATAAGTAACTAATTGGCAGAATTCCAAATAAGCAAACAGGGATACATTCAACAACTCAGAGAATTGTTACTCCTGAGATTTTTCACTTAAAGTATCTGGAAAGAAAACCTGAACCACAACTGAATTCTGTCATACCGTTACCATTAATAGCAGCTTAATATGTATTTTCCTTCAAAGTGGTCAACCAAGTTTTAGAAATTTGGCCATAGTGTAATGGGGTATGGAGGGAAGAGAAGGGGGTGGAGGGAGAGACTGTCTTTCTGTTTCTCCTATGGTTGCAACACACAACTAACTGACTTTCAAATAAGCCATCCCGTCTTACACTTAAGATTTGTTCTTTCTTACAGAGGGGACCATACATGGTGGAAGAAGGGAAGAAGACTCCTTTCTCCTGCTCAAGAAACTGCATATTCAAAAGTGAAAACCCTCTTCATTAAAAAGTGACGACCATAGAAAAGTTTAAGAACAGATTCCTTAAAGCAGGAGAAAATTACACTGTAAATACTGTTAACAGCAGGTAGTTCAGGGCTCTTAAAATACCTTTATAAATACATATTATAACATAGATAACCAAAGTGGGAATTTTCAAGCCATGGTACCAGTGTATAAATCGCAGCTTTCCAAGCCATCCTAGCAACAATTAAGTGAGCAAACCACAATTCTGAGCTCTAAAGCTGTGCTTTAAAATGTAAAGCAACCCACAGCGAGTTCTCTCTTGTCCAAACATTCTGTAGGGAAGGCCAGGAGGGTTCTGCTGCTTTCCCGGGCTCTGCTTGCGAGGAACGGATGAAAGGACAGAAGGCCACAGCTGAGCCGAACTCACTATCAAGACGGAGCCTCCTACAGAAATCATTGCGGTGAAAACCAGGTCAGTCTACTGAAGTTTTCAGATCATCAGAAATATCATGGAAAGTTCTATAAGGAAAAAAGAAGAGAACAATTAGTTCTGCTTTCGGAAAAGGGATGGAGGGTGGGATAAAACCAAAGAGATACATGAAAAAAACAGAAGCAAAACAATATCATACCGGTAGTTAATTGCCACAGAACAATATCCTATTTTTAGAACCGGAGAGCCTTGACGAGGTCATATAGTCACTATTTTTTGCTAAGACTGTCACTGAGTATTATTTCAAAGTCTACTAGTTGTCTCTCGGTTTTTGGTAACAAGAACTCTAGTTTTTTGCTGGGTCCATGGTCTCACATCCAAGATGATTTCCCCAAGCTCCTAATATCTGGTCTGGATGGAGGCGGTCTGCTACATATCCAAGGTGCCTCCCTCGGACTGTTGTAGCTAGCTTGCCTTTGCTACATGATTTACATGCCCAAGCTAGGAGGATGTCCCCCAGGCAGGTCTGCATCTGAGGTGGCCAGGTCAGAGTTTATCAATGATGCACTCAAGAACCCATCTTACACAAAAAGGCCTCATGCCACGGCTGGCAGAACAGGATGCAAGGACACTGAATGTCTGTGGAACAGCCATACGAGCCCTAGACTGCCTACCTCTGGCTTCTTTTGCCCAAGAAACAAACCTCTAGCTCATTTAAGTCATTGTTATCTTGAGTTCTGTTGGTGGGATTTTTTTCACTTTTTGTTTTTCTGCTTATATACAGTCAAATCTATCTGAAATGAGACAAAGCACACGTGTACCACCCTTTCAGGCAGAGGTGGTGTTGCTCCTTTACAACATAATCACCAACTAGGAACTCAGAAAAAACAGTTAAGGGTACAATGTTTACATTTTTCAGAACAAATCTAAAGTCCCTAAGTTATATCAATTTGCAGTCACATCACTGTAAAACGTTGTATCTTCTTAGTTTATTTATCTGTCAAATAAAGCCCATTTTATTTTCATACCTATAACCAAGTGTTAATTACTGTAAACAGATTATGCGGCTTTCTCATTATAAATGGGCCCAAAAAATTCAGAGACCAATTGAGTTGTAGGAACAAAAGACAAGTTGTCATTGGGTGCAGATCATCTACAGGTTCATAAAGCAGATAATCTAAATTTCAGCTGCAGTTCCACACTCATGCCACCTCTCTTACCCCTTTTACCTCACTCCTTTGTCTTCTCAGTGTTCCTACCACACAATGAGGAGGGTTAGCGGGGTGGAGCAGAAGTAAATTAAAGGCAAACCCTCGGGCCCAATCTCAGAAGTACTTCAGAATCACGAGGGCACAGGTAGAATGCTACAGAAGAGAGCTTACTACATTCAAGGACGCTCTATCTCCGGGCTGCCTCACTGGTGGGCGCCCTAACCCCTCATCCCTTGGACACGCACCCCTAACTAGCACGGCTCCGCTTCCAAAAGGAACACTCTGAGGAGTGGACAAGCTTCCAGGTTATGGCTTTGAAAGGGTTTACGTGTGTCATGGCCGAATTCACAATGTTAAACATATGCTGGCAGGTGAAAGAATTGGAATGAATTTTGTTTCCTTAAATATTTTTTACACTCTGAAAGAAATCCCCCAACACAAAGATTTATATACACACAGACTTTATATGTGTTACTATCTCTCTGTACATCAAATCAGGGTATCTCAACAGCAGCACCATCAACATTTTTGTGCATTATAAGAGGTTTAGCAGCATCCCTGCCTCTATCTGCTAAACTTGTGACAATCAAAATGACTCTCTACATTGCCAAATATCTCCTGAGGGGAGCAAAAATCATGCCCCCCCCCCCAGCTGATTGTCTACAAGCTGTCTCAGATGGCATGAATTTCATGAACAGTACTCAGTTCAGGGAAACCCTAGAAAATCTTTAAAACCAATAACCCAAAACTGGTGAATATTAAAAGGCATTTTCCGAAAAGCAACAGGTTTCTAAATTCGTTTGACATCTTTTCACATTTCTAAGATAATCTGCAAGTTTGAATCTCTGTTCAATTCCTCTAAATTGTGAATGAAAATGTCTGCCAGAGGGCAAAGATGCGTGAAATAAGATTAAGACTGTGGTTGGCTTGGTGACTGCTTTCTGTTGACAAGTAAGCTTAGCTGTAACCTTGAAATGCATACCTACTATTCAGTTCTGCCCTCAGGCCAAGAAGGCCTCCAAAAGGACCCAGAAGAAAGAAAGCAAAGTGAAGCAAGCCGAGAAAACAGTTACTAACAGTTTTCCAACTAAACATTCTATCCTCTCTAGATGTTTACAGTGGCGATGGTGGGGGCGTGTAAGTGCACGTGTGCATGGCGTGCGAGCATGAGTGAGTGAGTGTGTGTGTGTGTGTGTGTGCGCGCGCGCGTGCAGTGTGTAGAAGCCTATAGAAGTAACACTGATCTCTAACAAACCTGTATATCCCGGAAAACAAACTCTCTAATCTAGCAATACAGAAATGATTTACTTCCCTCCTCATTGAGAGGCGCTGAACTAACTAATCAGCAAGGCTCATTAAACCTGAACTCTCTAGAGTAAGAAGAAACAAAGGAAGAATACCACATTGACAATATTTCTAGAAATGGTAAAAGTTCTACCTTAATCATCTAAATACAGTGTTCTTTTTCAAACCATAAGGATCTTTATGCTAAGAACCACAGTGGTAGGAGGCGCCTGGGTGGCTCAGTCAGTTAAGTGTCTGACTCTTGATTCTGGCTCAGGTCATGATCTCACAGTTTATGAGATAGAGCCCAGGGTCGGACTCTGCGCTGACAGCACAGAGCCTGCTTGGGATACTCTCTCTCCCTCTCCCTCGGCCCCTCCCGTTTGTGAACTCTGTTTCTCCTTCTCTCAAAATAAATAAACTAAAAAAAAAAAAAAAAAAAAAAAAAAAGAACTACAGTGGTAGAATTTCTTATTTAAGAGCAAAAAATGCAGAATAGGACCACATGTGCCTGGAGGGACAGAGACTGCTATTAATATTTTACAGTTCCTTTAATGGCAATGGAGACTGTGTGGTGTGATTTCTCATTTACAATCCCTTGCTCCTTGAAAATGTTTCTGAGTCTTCCTCCCCCAAAGTTTCAGTGAGATTTTTAAAAATTCATTTATGTAAACATTTAAACTTTTTCTGATTTAACAGCTCAAGACCTGTTGACTTCTTTCTTCCTAGAAATACAGAATTTTGGACATTTAAAAATAAAAAGCTTTAAGTGACATAGTTGGCCTGGCCTAGATGAGAGTCTATTTCCTAAACCTTCACTTAGCACAGGAACACAATCCCGTGACAGAGCACATGTCATCACTATTATGCACATCCCTTCCTTTCCAACATATTTGGAACCCAGCTCTAAGGCTGGGGTTCACTATGTTCCATCCTCTTTTATCAACCTCAAAGTGATATTGCAAAAATCTTTTTATCTGATCTGTTCTTGGCTTCCCCAATCTATTAATTTATCAAATGTTCACTGAGCATTTTCTATGTGCCAGACACCATGCTAGGAATGGTAAAAGAGTGATAAACAGATGAGACATAGTGTCTACTTTGAGAAAGCTTACCAGCGACTGGGAAAAGACAGTCAAACCTACACAAATATAAGGTGTGTTAAGTTCCAACAGGATAAGTACAAGATGCTGTGTGGTGGGGAGACCATGAAGCAGGGACAACTCACCTGGGGGGTGAAAGAAAGAAAAAAGAAGAAGAGAGAAAAAACAGAGAGTCTGCACTACAGAGCACAGAGTGGAGGGAAGAAGAACGGGGGTGGAGACGGTGGAGAGGCTGCTGAGTAACTCTTGCACTGGGTTATACCAGTGGAAATACAGAGGAATGAGAGGACTCAGGAGGTTTTCAAGTGACAGAAGCAAAGGAGAAGCACCAGTGAACACGGCATGAGTCAAGTACAGCTCCCTTCCCTCCTTCAATTCCCCCCCTCCCTCGTTAGCCCAAACTAGCATGACAGGGAGTGAGTGCACTCCAGCTGAAATTCTGAAGGTTACCGTAAAGGTCTGTGGCTGTGGGATGCCTTCTGGAGAACACCTTTGTGTCTCATTTTGCAAAGACAAGGGAAAAACAAGTGCTCTATAAAGTTGGATGCATTAAACCCTAGTTTAATTCCCAAATGATTTCTTTGACATTCCTTTTATTCACTTTTGATTTAACTTTGGATATTAAATTATGAAAGTCTGATTAAAAGAATGCTTCTACAACAAGCATTGGACTACTAATAACTCCTGCTAGTGAAAGATTAAGCTGAGTTCCTAAAGGAACTTGACATTCCAGTGTCAAGCTTGGTACTGTCAAGATGTGACAGGGGGCAGAGGAAAACCTTAATACAGACAACAGCATTCCCGGAGGAGTCCCTGGGATATGTTCCTACTTCCTTCTTGCAGGTTTTACTGCTCAGTTTTTGGTAGGAGTGAAAAAGTACATCAAATCCAGTCTGAATATCCTGTCCAAAAGTCAAGAAAGTACTCTCAGGCACGTGACTGCAGGAGAGCTTTTGCCCTCCCCCACACCTCCCAGACAGCCCCAGTGTAGACAGCGAACAGAGGAAGTGATATGCTTGGCTTACTGAACAGAGGGAGCCTTAGGCTGTGCTGTGTCTGTGACATTCAGCCCCATCATACTGCAAACACCACTATCGACAGCTAATCTCAAAGAAAGGGGGTCCTCCCTCCTTCGTTCTTCCTTAGATGGATAGTTGTCCATCCCTCTGAAGAGAGATGGAACGACATCTGCGAATAGGTGTGTCTGCCTCCCAAAACGGAACCGTGCACCCTCTGCTATCCCACCGCAGCAAGCCTGTTGTGTCTGAGGCTGGGAGGGAACGCCAGCATGGCAGCAGCTCAGACAGCAAGAGGAAACAGGTCAGGACGAGATCATGTAGGGTCTTGCAAGCCACGTCAAGGGCTTTGATCTTCCTCCTAAAACCAATGGGAGGCCATTTTTGGTAAGAGAGTATCGTGATCAGGTAAGCTTGCATTTTGAAGAGAACAAATGAGCTGTAGCGTGGAGGCATGAGAGAACTGGGAGAGCGG